TAGTGACACAATTTTATTTAAGAAAGAATCATCATTTTACTTTTAGAGAGAGAGAGAGAGAGAAAAAGGCACCTTTCCATAACCCCCAGATCCAATATCATTGGCCTCTGAAAAGTTATTTGTATATTTCTTAAGCTCCTCAAAAGAGAAACATCTTGCACCTTTTAACTGAGGAATGCTTCCACTGCTTTTCTTAACATCCCAGTGTGCTGCATTTGTACAGCAAAGAATGGGTCAAGAAACCTGATGTTTGTGTGCAATCAACCAGAATATGCTACAGTAAATAAATGCTAATCATACCAAAAGGGTTGCTCTCTAGGCTTGCTCTTTTTGCCTTCTTCTTTTGATGAAAAGCATAAACCCCAGCAAGTAGTGAAAGTAGCAGAAGCACAGAGCCACCAACAGCTGCTCCAATAATGATGCCAGTAGTTGATTTTTTGGAGCTTTTAGGGTCTGAGGAAACCACATATGACATAAAAGTGTAGATTAACATTAAATAGAGCTACATTTAATTGTTCATTATGGTTCTATAAGAACTGCGTAAATACCTGAAAAGTGGTTGTAAGCATCACCGCGAAAAAAATAAGGTCCATAAAGACTAGATGGTGGCTTGTAAGACTGGTTGCTAAATACAAATGCAATTGTAGAAATCCCTGTTCGATTGAAACTATCCTGGCCATATGGAAAGATATCAAGGTTTAGTAGAAAATATCTAGAAAGATCCATTCTTGGATTGCTTAGTGATACTGAATCAACAGGAAGATTGTTGGACTGGAAGAACTGCTTCAGAGATGTCTCTAGAACCACATATACGGTTGAGTTCCCCAAGTCTGAGAATAAAATTCCTCTGAAAAATAGAATTCCTGTATATGGATATGCACATCTGCATGTGGGGCTAGAAATGTGGTCTGAATTGCATGTAGTAGGCAAGCAGCTGTTGGAAGGGGTAGTATACAAGGAAGTGGAATTTGATTGTGGAACTACACAGTAAGTTTTTGTTTCTTCAGTCTCTTCACAAACGGGGTTATCAGTAAGTCTGCATAAATTAATTCAGTCAAGAATGACATTCATAAGCTTTAACACTGAAAGAGAATACATCTAAAGACAATTTGACCTTCAAGTAATAACACCAAGTTGTTAAGCAAAAAACAAATTAATGGAGAAAAAAAGCCAGAAGAAATGACTCTCACATTATCCGAATGTCGTATCCTTCTGTTCCCTTGAACCCACTAATCCGATTATTCTGCAAATCTATGAGGCTCAGCTGGTTACTAAATCCCATGCCTATAACCAAGGTGCCATTTAGTTGGTTGCGTTTTAGCCCCCTGTACAATGTGACAAAGATGGAAATAATTAGCCTCCAGTTATCATCTCCATGGTTTAGATCAACAGGATATGTTTCACCAAAGTTGGGAACATCCAGGACAAGGAATGGTAGTGCATGAATTGAAGTTGATACTCACACAGTCTGCAAATGTGGAAGGCTGAAGAGTTTGACAGGAACTTCACCTTGAAGTTGAGTGTTTTCCATCCTTCTGCCTTGCAAAGAAATCAATTGTTCTCTTAACTTGAAAGGAAACTCATCAATGTGTATGTATACAGGAATATGGGCATGTGTCCATGAACATGCAGAAAACAAAGTGAGAAGGCAAGGAAGAGAGGGAAAGAAAGAGGGAGGAGGAGAAAAGACATTCAAGGATCGATGGATTTATTGTACCATTAACTAGCATGATTAAGTTTTACACATCATATTGCTATTAACAATATTCACTAGGGGTGGAAAGAAATTCTCACCAATAGTTTAACAAAATATATGGCCCTCAATGAAGTGTGACGATAAAAGACTAAAAGAGAGTATTTGGGTTCTGCATTTAAAATAGTTCATACAATGTTAAAAGAGAGAGATGGACATACAGTGTTGTTAAGGATGGCAAAGATGAAACCCATGTAGGAATCACAGAGGTACTGAATCTATTATTACTCAAGTCCCTGCAGAACACAAGCATATTATTAGAATGAAAACCAATGACAACCATATAGGGTTGTTGAAGGAGGCCTAGTGAATAACAATTTCAACTAAAGACATAAAGTGCTCGCATTGCAGACACATAGGAAGTGGAGAAAAAGACAAAGAAAAAGGGGGTAGTTTAGTTATGTAAAAGGCCTGCACTGCTTACAAGGTGTTGAGATTGATCATGCCAGTAAGGGAGGGTAAAGAACCATTCAGGTTATTGTTAGACAAATACCTGAAAAGAAGTTCACAAAACATTTTCTATTAAAGAAGATAAACTAATAAATGCAAAGACTGCTCATCTTCCATCTTTTGCATGCTTACAACTCTTGAAGACTTGTGAGATTGTTGAGGTTTGACGGAACACTCCCACTTAAGGAATTGTTATCAAAACGTCTGCAGCCAAAACAATAACTTCTTCAGTCACACCCACAAAGAAATCCAATTCCCATAATAATCTCATTTTGAATCTGCTTAAGCATGTGTTCTAGATACTCACATCACCTGTAAAGATTGCACAAGCCCAAGGGTTGAAGGGATAGGACCGGTGAGTTTGTTGCTGTCAAATAACCTGGAAGAAAGAGAAGAAATGAAAGCTTTCAAACATACGATAATCCAGCCTGTGATTTGGTGAAAACTGAAAAGGAAGGAGAAAAGAAGAAAAGGGCAGATTTGCTACTCCATTAAACAAAAGAAGAACATTTGAGGGAAATGGAGGGGAGCAGAGGGGAGGCATGAATTTTTTAACCAATCTGATTGCGATATTTGAAAACAATATAATTTGAGTGGTTAAAAAACTCTTCTTTCCCTTCCCCTCTTCTGGTACAGAAGCACTATTATTCAGAAGGCAATATTTGTTTGTTGCAGAAAATTTCCAACTTTAAGCCCTTTGCTTATTTATTTTCTGGTAACTTCTGCAGTCAAAATATAATTAAAGAAACAGAAGTGAAACTCACACATGTACCAGAGCCATGTTTGAGCTGAAAATTTTCTCCGGGATTTCGCCTGAAAGTCTATTCTGTCCCAAATGACTGTGGATAAAGGTGAAAACATTAGATGATATTATTAAAAAGGAAACAGAAAATAATAAAACAAGTTAAAATTAGGAAGACAAGTAACATACAAATGCTTGGTATGGACCAACATGTCAAGGCCGAGTGTAGTTCCATCTGACACAGGAATTGGGCCCTCTATTTGGTTGTCAGCCAGATCCAGCCAATATAGATTCGATAGA